ATCAAATAAGAAACAAGGAAGTAAACATACCCTTCTACAGTTAACTTAATATTAAACAAATAACAAACAAGGAAGTAAACATACACTTCTACAGATTATATTTCTTTGCTAGAAAGATGAAATTGACGAAGAAAATACACAGCAGTTTTCTAGCAGATATGACAAATGTCACGTGATCAACCTTCAGAAGCTAGCTGAAAACGTAAGACAGCTCACAATGCTTTTTGCGTTGCGATTAATTGCAGAAAAAACAGTTATAATGAACACAATATAAACTCAATTAATATCAACAATAATCAGATTACATTAAAACATTTCATATAGTTAACAAAAAATTATGCAAATTACAAGTTCTTGAATGAACTCATAACGGATTTAATTATAAAAGAGCTGACGTTATTTACTGATTTGTCTGAATTCAATAATTTGTATATTTTCAAAAGTAAGATTAGAGTTAATATTATCTCTCTGACTAGGTTTGTGGTGGATAAGTTTTATTTTTTTGTGTGTAGTATTTGAAGTGGGCTAGTGTTATCTCTCTGTGTATTATTAGCTTTGGTTACTGTTATCTTTTTGCTTAGCGGGGTTTAGTGTTTTCTTTATGTGTAATATTCTCAGTAAGTTAGTGTTATTTTTGTCTGTATAATTAGCAAAGGAATAATGTTGTATTTGTGTGTACGATTTGCGGTTAGTAAGTGTTTTCATACATTTGTTTAGAATTAGCAGTGAGTAATATTATCATTGCGAGTAGGATTAGCAGGGGGTTAGTGTGATCTCTGTGAGTAAGATTGGAGGTGAGTTAGTGGGATCTTTGCTTGTAGGATTAACGGTGGATTAGTGTGATCTCTGTGAGTAGGATTAGAGGTGAGTTAGTGTGATCTCTCTTTGTAGGATTAACGGTGGATTAGTGTGATCTCTGTGAGTAAGATTAGAGGTGAGTTAGTGTGATCTCTCTTTGTAGGATTAACGATGGATTAGTGTTATTTTTATGTGTAGGATTGGTGATGAGAGTGTGGTACAATGTTTTGAGAATATGTAGTATGTTTTGACTGAAACTCACGATTGTTCATGGACACGTGCGAAAAAATTGGTTTCATTCTGTCCAGTGAAGGTAATTCTAAAGTCAAGCCGGATCTATCTGTGCTTTTCTCAAGACCGCTAGGTTGTTGGTAGTCCAACTTTGTACAGAACATACACAAGAATGAAAATATCCCTCTGAGTCCAAGTTGGAAATGGATGGTTAGTTTCTCCTTTAGGGGTAAGTTACATATCCCGAGAGATAGGATGCTTAAACTAGTCGGGTATTCACACTCATCGTTGGTGGTTTAGTTTTGATTCGAAGTTTGGAAAGTTGGTGTATTAATTTACTTGTAAGAAAGCGTGTGATTTCAATGACGTCCTTTTTGTTTATGTGACGATTTTGTTCAAATAAATTCTTTAAATTTTTAACACTCACTTAATGTGTTAACACGTGCTGCTTGGTTGCAGGTCATCCCGGAAAATAAGGGAGGTCAAGTAATAAAAATAATAATAAAAGAAAGGTGAAAATATTTTTATGCTACCACTCGTACAATGCCCCTATAAACAGCCACACTGGGTAAGAAATAACATTATGGGATACTTAATAATCAGAAAATATCACTCAAAGTTTGGTAAATTTTCATGTCATTATTTAAAAAAAAACTGAGCTCCACTATTAAAAATCATTATGAATAAGAGATTGGTTTTATAAAATGTTTACAATGTAAAAATAAATTACTAATAGTATTTCCAGCCTTAACTTAAACATTGATGTAAAAACTGTATTCATATCTTCACATAAAATCAACACCTTACTATCTAACCCGAAAGAATTCCTACTAAAGGAACAAAAACAGGGCATATAAAGTGAATACGCAAAGAAATGCATATTACAAATGTCATATTCCTTAGAAATATGACACAAAGAACATCAAGGCGTACAGGTGAATTCCAGATATCTGCTTTAACATATGATCAACATGAAACAGGTCACCAAAAACGTTGGGACAGAATGTTTCTCCTACGTAACCCAAAATTTTAAAAAAAACGAAATAGACAGTTCAGAAACTATAGAAAATATCAAAGCAAACTATCTCTCACTAAATTATTGATAATTTCCCTAGCAACATCAACCGTACTTGGCAAGGTCTATTCACCGGCCCTAGCAACATCAACCGTACTTGGCAAGGTCCATTCACCGACCCTAGCAACATCAACCGTACTTGGCAAGGTCTATTCACTGGCCCTAGCAACATCAACCGTACTTGGCAAGGTCTATTCACTGGCCCTAGCAACATCAACCGTACTTGGCAAGGTCCATTCACCGACCCTAGCAACATCAACCGTACTTGGCAAGGTCCATTCACCGACCCTAGCAACATCAACCGTACTTGACAAGGTCCATTCACCTACCCTAGCAACATCAACCGTACTTGGCAAGGTCTATTCACCGGCCCTAGTAACATCAACCGTACTTGGCAAGGTCCATTAACCGGCCCTAGCAACATCAACCGTACTTGGCAAGGTCTATTCCGTCACCTTCTGACATCATTTATGTTACATTTAACCCTTGTGTCTTTATAACTAGGGGATATGCTGTCGTGTGACTGAAAGCGGAACTAGTGTTGTCACCTGCCATTTTGGACGTAAGAATGACGGCTTTCCCCGCTTTAACGTTACATTCTGTACATGAAAACTTTACATTTAGCGCTTTGCCAAAGGGTTTAGATGAACCGTCCACATAATGTAAAATGTCATTCATTTGGAATGTCTATAACGACCCCGTGTTCTACTCCCCCGGCAAAGACTACAGATTTAGATGCCGCTTCATTAGCCATGTTTACAAACTGAGACACAGTTATGAACATTATTGACGTAGAATATTATCAGATATTATCAATTACAAAGTTTACAGTGCCTCACATTACACAGGAAAGGTATTGAAGACATACAAAAGTTTAGATGTCTATAAATATTTTGTAGCAGGCAGGGTGCACAGTGCCCGATTGTGGAAAGTGTACGACTCGTCAAATTAACTAATATGCTCGAACTTGCTACAGTAATTGTTAAACTGGACTTAGATGAGCTTTAATTAAACACCTTTATTTGCTTAGCTGTATTTCTACAGTAATTGTTAAACTGGACTTAGATGAGCTTTAATTAAACACCTTTATTTGCTTAGCTGTATTTCTACAGTAATTGTTAAACTGGACTTAGATGAGCTTTAATTAAACACCTTTATCTGCTTAGCTGTATTTCTACAGTAATTGTTAAACTGGACTTCGATGAGCTTTATTTAAACACCTTTATTTGCTTAGCTGTATTTCTACAGTAATTGTTAAACTGGACTTAGATGAGCTTTATTTAAACACCTTTATTTGCTTAGCTGTATTTCTACAGTAATTGTTAAACTGGACTTAGATGAGCTTTAATTAAACACCTTTATTTGCTTAGCTGTATTTCTACAGTAATTGTTAAACTGGACTTAGATGAGTTTTAATTAAACACCTTTATTTGCTGTTTTTCATGTGCGCTGATGATCGATATCGTTCTAAGTTAAAAGTGGGTGGACTTGTTTCTGGGGCTGTTTGCTAACGTTGTTTATGTTTACTAGATCTATTTGGTCTAGAATTTAGATCTGATTGTTTACTGATGTAACGCATGAATTCTTATGTTAACTTACATCTATTTTTACATCTTGTAGGCCCTATACTAGTACATATACTATACTATACATTTTTTTACAAAACAAGTACTGCAAAGCATCAGCTACAGTCTCCTAAATATATTTATAGTTTCTGATATATAATATAATTCGTCAATGCGTATGGTGATATTTATGTAATTAATGGCGGCTTAATGTGTTAAAATGATTCAATAATCACAATTTACAGCAAAACAGCAATATTTTCATATTTCTGAAGTACCGATCCTGTTTCACAAGTAAATGGTAAAAACATTAGAACTAATAAAATTATTGAATTACCAGTAGTTCACAGATTAAAAAAAAGATTTAAGTATTAATGCACTATTTCGAGTACTAGCCTATATATATACATGTATATATATATATAAATTATAATAATAATAGTGGGCTGAGATTGAGTAATATATTAGGCGGAGTTAGCTGGGTCTGGATCAAAAAATTGTTCCTATGTTCAAGTCCATAGCTTAAAGCTTTTGTGGTGCTGGCATTAATATCCATAGTGTTTTTATTGTCTGAAAGAAAATACTTTTAATACAACACGAATATATTTGTAGGTATTTCATTCACCGCCCGTTTCACCCATTTATTCCTTCGCTTTTCATCGTCTAGAAATCTGTAGAACGACAGGTCGGGAATTAAATTTCTTCTGGTTGTTTGTACAACCAATTGGCATTATCACACAACTCAGTTCTGTGCATGTAACTGCTAGGTTAATCGTTATTTCACCAGTTCGTTGTTACGTCCAATATGGCGGAATAAGCAAAGTCGGCTCGCTGCATGACGTTACGTGCATATCCTCTATAAACCCTGTATGTAGTATGTTCCACCTTGCTTATGCTTATGAATCATTATTTTTAAGAAAATTATTATATTAACATAATACGCTTCTTTACTCAAGTATTCGTCTGTTGGTGACTGGAAGAGTTAATTATACAACAGCATAAAACATATTAACATCAAAGATTAGTTACAAACGCATGTTAGTTAATTTTTAAAACATGTTAATACAAAGCGTTACCAAAAGATACGGAAAATCCATTAGCATAGGAATATTATGAAGAAGTATTGAATCTATTTTGTGTAATTGACTAAAAATTATACGAAACTGCGAGAAAATTTCACCCAAAATTCTAAAAAACTGAATGGAAATGCGCTTACGTTTCTAACCAAACTAGAAACGTTTATGTTTTGACACAAAACTGTACAAAATTCCACGGAAATGTGCTACGTTTTTAACCCAAAAATGTAAAAACCTGAATGAAATCGTGCTTACGTTTTAAATCTCGATAAGAAGAACAGGTCGTCAAGAATTCTAAGGTATAGTCGCTTCGACAACCGACCATATCTGTGGTGTATTTGGTGCATTTCTCTGGTAGAGAGCTTAGATGGCCTGGCTCTATACGAAGCCCATTTGTTTCTGTCAGTGCTGGACAATGGTCAGTATCGGGAGTAGAGGCTGCTTTGGAAAAAACAATGTGATTATAGAATGAACGCTTTGGCAGTGTCATTGTAAATTATTATTTATTCTAGAAATAAAAAATAACTTCACAGTTGCATTAGTATGATCATTCTGATTTGTTTTTTATTGCTTCGTCGACATTTTAACTAGAAGATAGCTTAATATAGTATGATCATTCTGATTTATTTTTATTGCTTTGTCGACATTTTAACTAGAAGATAGCTTAATATAGTATGATCATTCTGATTTGTTTTTATTGCTTTGTCGACATTTTAACTAGAAGATAGCTTAATATATTATCATCAGAACATTTCATTACCTGAACAATTAGTAAAATTAGAATATTTGTGCATTGATAACAATATTCGGTTTAATGCAATTAATTTAATATTATGCTTCTACACAGGTTTAGTATTTTATATTAATTAAAGAGATTTTACAGCTTCGCCAATTCGTTACAGTCCAGGTCATCACGTCTGATCACATTCTATCTGAGAATCATGCATCTTGACAAAAGCCCTGCAACGCTCTTTCTACTGCAATGGGATCAGTCATAAGACTGTTATTTCCAAAGCACACCACTCCTTCTTGTAGTTCTCTATAATCCATCTAGTGAACTAGAACAACGGTCTCCCAGCACCTGTTACAACGTCTCGAATGCACAGAAATCCGCACTCTATTGGCCTCGTTTCCATATGGAGGTCCTACTTAATGATGTTGCGACTGTTGCCACTGGTCTTTGTGTTCGTGTTAAAAGACGCCGAACTTTGTTTTCCAAAGCTGAGATATAAGTTTTTGCAGGTCTCTTTTTGGATGGTCTTATTTAACCAAGTTGATTCACTTTGCATTGCTTTACAATGTCATTAAGTATAAGTCTTGTAAATTCTAAATCCCCAATTAAAACACCTCCTTATGACCGGAGTGTATGAATATATCTTTGTCGGATTACTTTCCAGTGGTCTCACACCACCTACGTAACACCAAACGCGACTTTAAACTAACTATGATTGTTACGTGGCTTGCTAATTTGCATATTCAAAATCATTTTAATATAACATGCTCAACATTCTGTACAGTCAAGTCGTGTTCGTTGTCAACTAATGTAACTGGAAACGATGCTGGTACTCTTGTATGAAATTGTAATTCAAAGTAGCCAATTAAAATTAAATTTTGTTTTATCTTACCAATACTATATGATGGAAAACCTACGTAACGTTCTCATGAAAGAGATGATTTCAACCCAGACATGGATCTTGAAGTGCCTGATTTGGATGAAAATGAACTGAATAAGGTGATTGACGTTGTCTTGTAATGACGCTTTATAACATTTTATTCTGAATTCCGAGATATATACAAACTGCTATTCGTTATGAACGTTGCAGTACCTTCAGGCTACTTTGATGAATTATTCGTTGCACCAACATGCGCATTATTAGTAGTGATGTTTCATAATGTAACGAAACGTTCACAGTAACTTCGATGAAACGATGTCAGTAGAAACTTTGAGTAAATGTCTTAAGGCGTCCACAAGAACCAGAAATATAAAAACAATAAGCATCTGCACGCTTGTATATGAAAACTACTTGTAATAATACTGAACGTTTTTCAGTAACATTAGTTGCTTAAGTTTTAGAAATCTATCTATACTAACTCTATAATAAACGCAGACACGTTTTAAGCAATATATTTATAATACTATCTCTGAGTAAAAGCTGAAACTCTATAATTTTGTCAAAGTTATCAACAGTACCTTTACGATAGTATATGTAGTATGTCATTAACAACTCTGTTCTAGGGCGTTTATATGTTCAATAATTATATATAGTTAGTTGTGTATTGAAAACTTCACCTGGTATCTTTATAACGGTTCAAACTGTTCAGAGTAACTTTCTTCTCTGCTAGTTTATTTCTGTACTTCTTCTTAGGAGTTTGTGCACAAAACTACACACGAGGTATTTCCCCAAAGCCGCACCTAAATTTGATTCTGTTTGTTTTTTATTAAGCACAAAGACATACAATGAGCTATCTGTTCTAGTATCGAAACTCGACTTTAAGCGTTAAAAGCCCTCGGATTTACCAATGAGCCACTGGAAGGCACATACTTTTGAACTGATAAATCAGAAGAAAACAAGAAATTAATCGAAAACTCTTCGGCTGCTCGCGTCTGACAGAATAGTGAGTGGAACTGACTGTCATTCTGATAGTGTACTCATGTCTGACAGTATAGTGAGTATAACTGACTGTCAATCTTATGGTGTACTCATGTTTAACAGCATAATAAGTGGAATTGACTGTCATTCTTATGGTGTACTCATGTCTGACAGTATAGTAAGTGGAACTGACTGTCAATCTTATGGTGTACTCATGTCTGACAGTATAGTAAGTGGAACTGACTGTCAATCTTATGGTGTACTCATGTCTGACAGTATAGTAAGTGGATTTGAGTGTCAGTCTTGTGGTGTACTCATGTCTGACAGTATAGTGAGTGGATTTGACTGTCAACCTGGTATCCTAGCCACTATCCCATTTACTCTGTGACACCAGCAGTTTTGTGTCAACTAAAAGGGGTTGTCTTATATTTAGTATCAAACTAACATTTTATACTTTCTTTAGTATCCTCTCCAATATTAGTTGCGTGAGTTCAGTGATCATAATCTTCCCAACTAGTAATGTAACTTACTCACTAATGTTATGTTCTGTTTTTTACTATATTATACAATATTAGTTAGATGAGTTAATTGATCATAATCTTCCCAAATAGTATCGGAACTCACTCATTAAGGTGATGTACTGTTTTTTACTATATTATACAATATTAGTTAGATGGGTTACGTGATCATAATCTTCCCAAATAGTATCGGAACTTACTCACTAAGGTGATGTACTCCTGGATTCCAGGAATGTGAATCGGTGGTTGACAAGCATCTTCAACTCTCCGAGCGAATTTTCCTGGTTGAAAATACATAATGTTTTTATAGACGAATTTCCTACCAGAGTAGAGAATAACTTGGTACGTTTGTAAACTGTTCAACCACTTGTAATATAAACAACTTAACAACTTTATCTTGAGTTTTATTCTGCTGCTCATTAATTAATAACTTTTAAATCCCTGTTCAAACTGAGAAAAGAAAGATTGAATCTCCTGTTTATAGTTTAAAACTCGTCAGAAAGAATGAATGTGCATTTTATAATAAAGAAACTTAGTTTTCTGAAAATTGTTTAATCTCGAAGTCTAAGTTTAAGGGAGGTCTAATTCAATCTACACTTTCATCAATCTGTGTTATACTAGTTTCGGAGGTTGAACTGAACCTCCCTTAAACTTAGACTTCGAGATTAAACACTTTTCAGAATACTAAGTTTCTTTATTATAGCTGCTATTGTTTGGCTATATAATGTGAAGAAATGAATAGTGGCCGATGTCACTTTTTTTCACTTCACCTACCAGTGTATAGGTTTTTCTCATAATGACTACAAAGTACGTTCACGTTTAAAACTCGAAAGAAAGAATGATGTGTCGTTTCTAATTTAAAACTAAACATAAAGAACGAATGTGTATTCTATAGTTTAAACTCAAAAGCATAAATGTGATTTTGTAATTTGAAACTTCTGGATTTTAAAGTTACAGTTGTTCGTCGAAATATTATCTGCTACATAAGTTTAAATTACTTTGTAGTTAAGGAAAAAATCACACGGTAGGCTAACTGTGCTCTGCCCACCACCGGTATCGAAACCAGGAATTTAGCATTATAGGCCTTGAGAGTGGAGGGCATAAGTGTAAGAGTTAAACTGCAGTAATAAAATTACACTAGTCATGTATAATAATTTAGTTTCCTAATAAACTCGATTTTTATGTAACATAGTTAATAGAAAAATGGGTACATTAATAATTTTTAAAAACAATATTTTGTTTCTATTAGCTTTAAAAATATACACAGAAAACACATTTTTCATTATCAAATAAAACAAAAATAAATTATGTATAACATTAAGTCTTACCAATTTGGAGTTCTGTGATGTGCTTATCCCGAAGGTGAAAACTTATACACACGAACCCGTTTTCACTGAAAACAGAGAATGAAATTAAAGATGAAATATGGGATGGTTCTGTATGTATATACTGAGTTCGAACAAAGATTTTTTTATATAAAATATTTATCTAATTTTTGTTATATTATGTTTAATAATGTTTGATTGGTCAAATACGATTGTTTGGATTTCGCGCACGATGGCTATCCGCGCTAGCCATCCATGATTTTTAAGCGATAGTCTAGAGGGAAGGTAGCTGGTCAATTCTTGGACTACAGTGGGATTGACTGTCACATTATAACGCCCCCACGGATGTAAATGTGAGTATGTTCGGTGACGAGATTCGAACTCGCAACCCGCAAATTACTAGTTGAGTACCCTAACCACCAGACCATACCAGGCTTGTCAAATATAATGATACAAAACAAAATGATATTGTTACAAAAATCAAACAACGTGTATCCGTACAAAAATACTCTTCCAAAGAATGAAAATACAGTTTTCAACATTAAGTTCCACATAAAAAGCCCATAAGTAAAAGCAGACTGTGGACCTGGACTTGAACCTAGAACTTCTGGCTAACAAAGAAATAATTACTATTGTGCTATACTAGACACTGTTATTGCTTTTTGTATTATTAAAATTTTACGTTCCTTTTCTAAGGATATATATATTTTAAGTTGCGTAGTATTCTTCTAAGGAAACACTTGCTGACATCTTTAATAAATATCGTATGATATTGTTGAAAACTTTTCTAAAAGAAACACTTATTAATATCTTACAATAAATTTGTCATAGGTTTGGTATTCTTCACACTATACAGTACTCTTACTCAAGGAACACTTATATCTTAAGATAATATCGTTATTGCTCTCGTATTGTTGTAATTACGTATTGCTCTTTTGAAAATACATTTAATGATATTGAGCAATAAGTTTTATTGTTGTTACGGTATTGATTATTTTCTTCAGAAGCGTCACTGACTGACATTGTGCGGTTCTTTTTAGAAACTTTACTCTAAATACATATGTACTTCACATTATTACAAAAAAATTATATCAGTATTAATCGTAAATGAAAAACAATATGAATAAAAGAACTAATATTAGAGATAATTGGTTATATTAGCTGTTAAGAGTAACCTATAAATTATGGATTCGATCTTGGAAGCTAAATATGTTTTTCTTAGTAGCAATAAGAAAATAAATTATTCTCGATTTCAAATATAGAAATAAACACGTAAGATAAAGAAAAGACTGATTTATCCGAGACATGAGCCAGTAACAGATGTATAATCATTCCAGGCTGTTAGCTAAGATTCTGAGGGTTCAAAAGTTATCAGTAAAGTTGATGCTTCTGGAGATTAAAAACAGATGCTAAGTAGACTGTTTCTAAGAGTCTAAGTATAGCAGATACTAATAATTCCTAACAGTTAGAACGTAATCTAATTAACCCAACTGCTATTTCAAAAATAGTGAAAAAAGCGTGATCAAGCAACCCATGTGGAAATATAACTTGCAAAACCAAAAGATCGTTACTATGGATCCCTCTAAACATATTGCGCCAATCAGAAATCTCATTTTTCTGGAACTAAGATGTTCTTACTTCTATAAAACTATTAAGTTAGAAATGTCTATATTTTCCTTCCTAGCTATCAGTGATATTTCTGTAATTAGATCGATAGATTGCATAGTATTAGTGATTGAATCTATGAAAGTAATACATTTGTATATATACTGTTTATTTATTTTTGCAGGACACACGTAAGAGAGGGGAATTGCATACATCGTTTTCATAAAACAGCCAAAACCTTTACAAGGAAAAGCCAGAAAATATTTCCGTCTCAAATAATTCTAACATAATCGTCAATAAATTTCATTATACATTTAAATACATATTATGTTTAGCATGTGGTTTCCTTTGTATTACATTTTAGTATTGTTACATTTTCGTGGATAATTTAAGTATTATTTTAATTGTTTCTTATCCTCTTAAACATCAGTTTTTTGGTTCTACTGTGAGAAAATTACCTGCTGAAAACATCTACACAGTTTAAATTGTAGCATGTGTCGAGTATGAATGTCAATCTTTTCTAGGGATGGCTTAGTAAATTTTCTTTTGTCAAAAGACAAGATAGGCAGGAAAAACAAACACATTATACTAATTGCACGTTTTCAAAACAATTTTTCCTTTTCGACAGTAGTTCAAACAGATAGATAGTGTTCCTGGGTGTTATATCATTTATTTATAATTACTTTCATTAACAATGTTGGTTATACTAATTAGCATATTGATTGCCAATACTTTTTATTCTTGGTTTATCGTTTATTATCATAATTTAGTTATAAAGATTGTTTTACACTCTTAACTTAACATGTGTTTAGGACTAACCTAAATCCCTTAAGCTGGCTAATCTTCAGGAGATATTATTGGGTTTGAACAGTGACAAAGTCTTCTAAATGTTCATTAGCAAAACCTTCGACATTAACTATCATTAACAGCGATGGCATCTAACTCATGAAATAATGAATTCTAAAGTTTGTAAGTAGAAACGTAAGAAGGATGTATTTAATTATTGGTTTCGGTTTAAGAAACCTAGCTTCAAAGGTTTCAGAAAAGTGATAAAATAATTAACTGAAAGAGGATGTAAGAAACTAACTTCAAAGTTTACTGGCAAGTAGTTTGGTAATTTACTCAGACACGATGTAAGAAACTAACTTCAAAGTTTACTGACAAGTGGTTTGGTAATTCACTCAGACACGATGTAGAAAACTACCCTCAAAGTTTACTGACAAGTGGTTTGGTAATTTACTCAGACACGATGTAGAAACTAATCCTCAAAGTTTACTGACAAGTGGTTTGGTAATTTACTCAGGCACGATGTAGAAAACTACCCTCAAAGTTTACTGACAAGTTATGTGGCAATTAACATGAAAATACGACATCAGAGAAAATGTGTTAAAAGAGGGAGGATCCCTGAAGGAATTCTTACATCTTTTCAAATCAGGAATTTGCAATGATGACATTCTTCAAGATTTTAGTGTTAATCTCTGCTAGGTTGGTGAATTTGCAAATTGGTCATAGCCGTTTATATTAGGTTTAAAGAATTTCATAAAATGTTATCCCCTGGAGAACTCTTCAAATTCTTTCATTGACAATTGAGATAATACAGTTAATAACAGAATACAAAATTAGAAATAAAATATCAACACTTACTCTGCCATAGAGTAAAAGGTGTCATCCAGGCTGAATTTACTCTGATAGTACACACTAGATCGGAAGACAGGAAGTAATGCATACAGTA